TGCGCTTGAGTCCATTGTTGCGGCTCTTAGGTCAGTCCATCTCAAGGAGGGTTTCCCTCGTTTTCATTGGCCCTCCACTTTACCAAACAGGGTGTCCTTTTCTAGTGATTGGTCTTTCCTGAGGACACATCCAAAGTAAGACTTGCCACTGCACATTCGGGTTATATTCCCTTTCTTTGTGATATTATCCATGTGCTCAGCTTAGATCTCGCTGGTTCCAGAAGTCTTACCCAAACCTAGATTTAAGGACCCCGTAACCCCCAGGACTGCCTCCTCCTGGCTCTTGGCACATGCCATTATGTTTGCCTGTTTGCTTGTCAGTCTGCCCTAGTAGGCTGTAAGCTCTGTGAGGACAGAGCCCAGGTCTGCCTCACTCCCCACTGGTCCCCAGCTCTGAGCCCAGAACCTGGTGCAGAGCAGGCCCATTCTGAACCCACCTCTCACCCCAGGGGCAGGAAGCTTTCTGCTCGGGCATTTGACCCCAGGTTGGTTGGCCACAAGCAGTGCTTGACCTTCTTGCTCCTCCAGTGCTAGGCTAATCAGACAAGAGTAGATTCCAACCCGAAGAAACGGGAATCTGTCCCAGAAACTATTCTGGTCCTTAGTAGTAGACATGAGAAATTCCTTCACCAGCTGCAGTTTTGCCCCCCTGCAAAATCCAGTGGTGGAAAATGCCTGGATCAAATTCTTTTGCTTCTTACAAGAATAACTGCTGTCCTCAACATCGCGGAGAGCAGTCTCCACACAACAGCCAGAGCATCTCAGAAATCCAAACCTGGGACCGACTGCTGTGGCCTGGGGCCATTCACCACCAACCTGGTGTCAGAGGAGCAATTGCGAAGGAAATAGTGGGCCTCGGAGAGTATTCCCTGGGAATACATGGGTAGTTGAGAATGGGGTTAGAGATTACCTGAGTGAGAAAGCTGGGAGCAGGGAACCCAATTGTCCTTGTTCTTAGGCAATATATGTCCCAGTGGCTTAGCCCAAGACCTGCACCAGACCAACAGCAGCCAACAGCTACCCCCGCAACTTGCCCTGTTTGTGACCACTGCCCACCATACATGCCCCTAAGGTGCTCTCTGTATCACTTGTAGGTTGTGACGTTGCCTTGGGCTCCTCAGAGAGGGTGCTGCTTGCGCACATCAAGTTGAAATGACGTGCAAGTCAGTGTTTAGGAGCTGGGGTGAAAGCTGCTAGAACACGGTCTGGGAAGAAAAGTGTCTACACTCACCGGGACGAGGAGAAAAGATGGACTTCAAGGCAGAGGTCGTGGCTTCATTATGGTCTCTAAGGCTTTTGCAGCTGGCTGGCCTTAGCCAAAAAAAGGAAAACAACTGAAGTGTCCATCGGTAGGGACCAACTCTAAATATTATGGTCCATCCATTTGATGGAATACTATTCAGTCACGAAAACAACACAGCGGATCAGTATATGCTGATGTGGAAATTAGCTAGCTCCAAGATATACTGTATTAAGTAAAAAAAAACAAAATGCAAAGCAGCATATCATATAGTATCTATGTCTCCTTTTCTCTCTTTACCCAGAGTAGATCGCACTTTGTGTGAAGGTCAGTTAGTAGGAAAGGGGGTGGAAGGAAGGAGGGAACTCGGACTCGAAGCTGTCTTCAGCCGGGCTGGTCTTACTTTAGGCAGTGATTGTCA